ATATGTCTAATGTATATACACATAGGTACTGTATGCCTATACATACATATGTATAGACCTTCACATGACTTTAAAATCGAAAGATTATTACTCATTCCACAGAAAATTATGTAATGCTCCCATGCCCATCCGTTACTGATTTTTTGATTGTGTGTGAATATGAAAAGCTCCTGTCCTGTCTTCAAATCAATCTGCTGCCCTGGATTACCCATGGTACTTTGCTTGTTGCGCATGAAACACTTCATTCCAATCGCTACGCACAGTCCATATCCATAGGCTGCATTAGTCACGCAGTCGTACTTCCGCACACACAATGGACTGCTTACACAACGAAGCCTATGGTTTCTCCTGATGTTGTTTGAATTGCATAGTTTTGTTAATTTTTCACCTATTAGAAAAAGGATTAATTACACAGCAAATTTTGTTTGATTACTTAGCTGGTTTCCTGAAAATTTTGCAATAGTTTTTCTAGGCACCAGTCGTCAGCTTTATCATGTCAAACACCACCAATCGGCGGCCATCAGGTCGTCCTAGGACCGAAATAAATCGTAAGCGGCCGCTGCCTTCTCCTGCACCTGTTTACAATGGAGTAGGTAGCTCATACGAGGACAAAGACAACGATTTTGTTTGGTATGTTAGTGCTGTATATGTTCAGAGTATCCTATATGCAATTAATAATATCTGTGTGTCTGATTAAGGCTGGGTTTCATCTCTCTCTAGTAGTAGTAGGCCCTAGGCTAGGCCTAGGCCTAGTAGAGGCTGTCTATTCTAGGCTTAGCTTAGCTATATAGAGGGGCATATACTACCAACCTCGTTAGGCCTACAGTAGGCTAATCCTTGGTCCTGGCCTAGACAACTACAGGCCTAGTCTCCTACTAAGTACTAGCCTAGTGTAGTACTAGTACTAGGCTAGTACCTAGGCCTAGGAGTGTTTTGTGTTTTTCTGTTTATTTGGTGTTACTCTATTTTCTTGCTGACACGCTTGCACGTTCATGTACAGTTCACATACTGTAAGTGTAAAGTATTATATTTCTTATTTGCAAGGAGGATTTGCACCGAAAATCAATAGAAAGCTGTACTGTGTGATATAGAGTACAACAGTACAGTGTTACGTCACAATACCACGTGATACTACTCCGTTGTATCGGCAAAAAATGCGTTCAACCAACGCCATTTTTTTTATTCACAAACCATTGATCCCAATTTCTAACGTAATTATTAAGAATTTGGATCTTAATTTTTTTTTTTAAATGTTAATTGATGATTAAATGTGTGTTCGATCACTAATGTAATACAAGCTTTTTGTATTTTTAGTACATTTTGATGGTAAATTATTAGGTTTTAAAATGCCTATTCCAGAAAGCCTATTCTAAACCATTAAGATTATGAAGTCATTCAGGCATAATGAACGTTAACCAACATTCAGAGGGCGCCACCTGGTGTTGTGACGACACGACTGTAGTACTCTATAATGTGCACAAGGAAGAGAGTAAGCATATTAAATAGTTTCAGTCTAGGTCTATTCCTTTGTGTGTTTTGCAATGAATTAAGAAAGAGTAATACACTTGATTAACATTTTTTTTTCCACATTTCATGTCTGCGATAATCCATTTTGTATAATGACTCATATTTTAGGCTACGAGAATGCAAGTTGTAGATTTCCGTTCTGTCAGTATTTGTATTTATTGTTTTAACAAACAGGAGTAATTGCAAGGTCTACAAAGTACAGTAGTTCTTAAATGTTTAATACTGTAAATGTAGCATTGTAAATGTGTAGCATTTAATTCTATAATTACTTGAAACTTTTTGTGAAAATATTGTATTTTTGTAAATAATAATAAAAAAAAGAATTGTTGGTAGGACATGCGGACGATAAACACAAGTAAACTTTTATTCTATCATGGTCTTAGCGATGGACCTGTGTTACCGCACTTACTGTGTAATTTGATTGAGTCACCAGCTTTTTTTAAAGTTTTCAATTTTACACATTAAAATTTGCATCATTTATTCATTATTTTTGGCCTGTCTATGCAATAAAGCAATGCAGAGTTGTATGTCTGTACAAAATGACCACGCACTGTACAGCGTGCCACCTTCAAGCCTAGTATACTAATCACAAATTATTATATTATTAGTATTATGGTGATGATCAAGTGTAACATACGTTTAATCTTACTTTATTCAAAACTTTCATATTAGATGGGATTGAAAATGAAAGATTCTGCATTTTTGGAAAATCGAATGAATTGGAATTAGCTCTCTAATATTCTCATTAGGCCTATAAATATACACATACTTTCTGTGACGTCACCTTTCCATCACAAATTAATTCTGTTCTCCTTATAGTTTTCCATGTACTGTACCTGTCCACTAAATTTTATGATGGTCCATTGATTAGTTTTTTCAGAATTTTTTTTAATTTGATTTTTTTTGTGACATTGACCTCGAAAGTTTTGTTGCCTCTTCCTTAGACACATATGTTCCGCTCCACTAAATTTTGTGATGTTCCATTCATTAGTTTTTGCATAATCTTGCTGTAAATGAGACATATATATTCAAGGTATATTTATTCATAAAAACATCAAAAATTGTTCATGGCAGCCAAAGGCTGAATTGATACAATTTTACAAAATTTTACATTCACATTTTTACATTTAAAGAAAAAACAACAGGCAGACATTTAAACAAAAGACTCTGAATACAGTAGGCCTACATAATGTTGTTGGCGGAGAGGTAACAAAATGAAAGGCAAAGTTACAGAATTTCTCCAGTTAACATAGTCAATTTGCAAACTTTGTAGTATTTATAGGTCAAGTTATATAAGCAATAATTTAATAGTGTCATGTGTGTAAATGTGCAGGTTCTAAATTCATTAGGTGCTCTAGATGGAAACTGGGGCCTGAAGGTTTAAGATGCTCGCTTTCTAATGAAAAGGTCATAGGTTCAATCCTGATAAAACTAAAATGTACTTTTCCTCATAATCATGAAAATTTTCTTCCTCGATTTGCACAAGTAGTGTGGAAATTGTCGGATGTAACACAAACTATGCACAATGAGCATAGGTATTTATTGCAATTTGTTTATTAAGTAATATTATTTCAGATAAAAAAAGAGTGTTGTTTGTATGTTTTATTTGCAACCCAACATATTTATTGCAATTTGTTTAAGTAATATTATTTCAGATTTAGAAAAATATTTTGTTTGTATGTTTTATTTCCGAACAGTTTGGAAGAGTGACAGCAGCCATTTAGCGTTCGTCAAATGAATGCACTCTTCTTGTGTACTCACATGTTACCAGTTGTGAAATCAGTTTTCACAAGTTCTAATGAATGCAGTATTAGTGATCTAAATTGGAAATAAATAAAAAGACTCCAACTTTAAAAAGGAAGGTACAGGCCCTGTTCTACTTTCAAGATGGCTTTATAATCTGTCTATTCAGAATGGTGAAAAATTCCTTCTTTTTATAGCTTTGCTTGGTGTGGCAGGATAGGATCAGTATCTCAATCTCAGAAATTCTCCCTCCAGCCACATGGGTTGAATTATATCAGAGCTAAAATACACTGGATTCACATTGGGCGGTGACCTTTAGTACTATAAGTTCTCACCACATTCTTTAGTGTGTGGAATTGGTCATGTGTGTACAATTGTGGTATTAATATTCTTGAGATTCGATGAAGTCTGAGTATGTTAATAAATAACAGCATATTGATGGTCTTACAATTACTGTACATACTTAAATACTTAAATAGTAACAAAGAACAGTGAAATTTGTTTTACAGTATTTTTTTTGTATCTAGCACAGTTTTAAGAATGTTATTATGCATTTTTTCTGTTCATAAAAATCTGAATTTGATGTTATTTGGAACATAGATTGAAATGAAATGCTGTATATCTATCAATTACTTTTTTTTTAAATATTTTTTTTTTGATCCACAAACATTATACTGTATAAAGTTGGCTAGGATTATCAGTCGGGCCTACATTTCTGTAGTTAATACTGAATTTTATTGCAGCCTGCGAAATGAAAAGCCCATCGGCGATCAAAAGTGATCTTAAATATTTGCTGATGCATAAACTAATATTTGGTCACTGTTATTAACTATATTTGACACTTTGATCAAAGAAGCAAAACTATAGCGATACTAAGGGCCTGTTTCTACAGAAAAGAAGTAATCGATGAGCACAGCCGAAAACATTTTACCTTCTCGCCCCACACCGTATCTTACTCCTCGTCATCATGACAGGAATGAGAAAGATACTATCCTCCTATACAGTTAGGAAAACAATGTGTTGTATAAACAAAATTGTGACGTAATTTCCATCACGAAAACCGATTTTCGAAAAATAAAAAATGCAGTTGCAATGCGAACAGGCTGTCTGGTACTCATTAAAAAAGCGGATTTAAAAAAATTGATTATTTTTTGTTTATCAGTAGAAACACACCCATACAGTAACTGTTACAGTGCATGGACTTTTTTAGAGGCACTAGGCACACTAAAACAACTGTATGTAAGATTATGCGGACCCATTTTCAACTTATATTCATCATTTGATATTTCTGATCAAGGAGATATTTGTCATCTCCTGTGGCACAGTTAAAATATTAAAATTCCAAGGTTTATTTATTCTATATATGTCATCCTTGATGAAAGGTCATTGAATACAATCTTTGATATCCTATCCGACACATTTCTCTATAATTACCAGAAATTTGACTATTTTGCATGACACCTCAATAGCTCAAAGTTGGCCTACATATCATTTGAATATAATCACTGGTTATATTTTACATTCGTACTATAGGTTTGTTGCAAAATCTGTATGCTTAGGGTCGTACAGTAACAAAATTGTGTGAAATCACTAGTCCCTGTGTTATACTGTACTGTAGACAAGTTTGTTTTGCTATAGTAAATAATTTGACATAGCTTTGTTTAATGGACCATGTACAGTACATCTCATCAATACTAAAGGTTAACTACTAACTACAATCATTCTCTTTGGAGATGAAAATAAATTGCAAGGCATTCTTCAAAACTATACTTGAAATGTTCGCAACAATTTTATTACGTTTTTCTTGCCAGTGTTTTAAACAGTTTGTTTCGCAGTTGTCTTATTCTTCATCATCTCAGAACTTCCATAATGTATCATTTTGATTGATTGATTGATTGATTGAATTTATTCGTAATAAGAGTCATAAAAACCAATTTATTTTGGCATTCTTTATAGCATGGACATGTCTTTACTGTACGCAAAATATTTTAAAGGCTCCATTCTAAAAACCATATTAATGAACTGAATTTTAAACTTGATGATTGAAACCTACAACAAAGTACAGTAGTACACAATAGCGTAGAATGATAGCTAGACCATAAAGGTACTGTAAGGTATTTATGCAGTATCAGACAGGAAAGATTAACTCCTCTCTGTAAGGTAGCCACACCAGTTTACGGTGTAAACTGCTTTTGTTGTAATACATTGGAATTATTTCTGATAAAATAAATCTGGCATGTCATAGAATATTATCTGGGATTGAAAGGTATTCCATCTTAACACCATTACAATCCTTCTCACAATAATAAAACTTAAAAATAAATACAATGCTACAGTAATAATTAAATGCTGAGTTGTTTATTTCTTGTAAAAGAATAAGCATCATAACATCGTTGAGCATAATATTTACGGTACTATTTGTTGAGCAGATAAAGCATGTAAAATATATGGATGTACTACAGTAGAATATTAAAACCACACAGTATGGTATGTAAACATGGGAATCTGACATACTGTACTACTCTGGGCCTAATGAGAAAATACGATAGCTGGATAGGTTGTTTGTGGTTATCTATATAAAAATATATTATACAGTAGTTCCATGGTGTTGAACATACTTAGCTTAAACATTGCATGTCTGGAATGTAATTATTTTTGCAATACATGTTCAGGTCTACTTGTCAGCTGTAGTGCAGTGGCCTTGCATTCTTCTTTCTAGGCCCCTGGAGCATTTTAGCTGTGTCTGTCCAGGCATGGTCCAGGTAACTATATCTATAGGTTTAGTCTACTGTACTGTACCTTTCTGCCTCTGTGATTTTGCTGACACATTATCTTTAATCAATATGTAGGTAGATTATCCTCATGCACCTTCTTGACTTTAATAGTGTACAGAAAAATATACGAACTTTTGAAGATGGATGTTCCATTATTGAATAAAAAAGGGTTGATGTACCAAATCTTCACCAAACCAATTATTTTTTTGTTAAAAATAAATTTCTACATAAGACCAAAAAAATAAATATACTTGTTTAGCGTCACACCCTCAGAAATTTTCAGTGGCGGATTTTTTTTTTTTTTTTTTTTTTTTTTTTTTTATTAAGTAGAGTTCAATGGCTTAAAAAAACAATAATGCATAGTCATATAGTAGCTCAGGCCTGGACTGGAATGATGTTCGTTTATTGAAAGAAGGCCGACCTAATAAGTGCTTTTTTTATCCTACCAGCACACAATTTTTATTGGTTAGTCAGTTATTTTTACTGGTAAAATTGACGGCTAAAACGTCTTCGGGAAAATACTGACAACCAAACCTCAATGGTTTTATAGTGATATTTGATAACCACTAACATTTTTTATAAAAATAAAAAGATTTTTACTTTTACTATGAACTATAATTTCAGGGGCAGATCCAGAGATGTCCAAAAGGGAGAGGGAATGAAAGTTCGGCCGATCGAAATAACACTGCCCTAGGGGGTCCGGGGGATGCCGCCGCAAAATTTTTGTGTTCTAGACGCCCGAAAATAAAATTTGAGGCGTTCTGGGCTATCATTTTTTTTTCTTACTTTTTTTCTTTTATTTACTTCCCAAAATTTGCTGGCCAGGGCCGTGCCACCCCTCTCCCCCCCCCCAAATTCTCCCCCAGATTTTATATTTTCTGTATTTTGTGTGTTTTAAGACTACAAGCAAACACAAAATACAGTTTCTTAATTTAGGTTTGAAATATTATTACCTGCAGGATTTTGTTTTGCTCTTATATGCCTATAAATGAGGATGCTTTATAAAAAGTGAGCTACATTATTGATTAAAAAATAAAAAGATTTTTACTTTTTTGACTAAGACTTGACTTTTATTTTCTATTTAATATGATTGCAAGCAAAATACAGTATGGTAATTAAAGTAAAGCTACATGTACAGTATTTTGAACATGCATACTGTACGCTTCTATTAGATATACAGTACACATACAGTACTTATGTCATCATCAGGAATCATCAGTACAGATTATAGTAATGTTGGTCTTCATAAATACCGTAGATTATAATACAGTAAAAATACCTTAAACAGAAACATACAGTAGTGTCATTCAATGAAAACATGACATTGGTTCTTTTTAAAGGATCAAATTATTTATATAATAATTTTATATATTAATTTTCACTGATTTTTTAGTATGCAGAATAGAGTGCTCTGGGATGATAATATTTACTGTCTGTTAATTGTAGGCTAATAACACTAACTGTACAAAATAAAGCAGTTTAAATCTTGAATTTTTTTTTTTTTTGCTAATAGCTCAACCTAGATAGTTTATCTTTAAAAGCATGACATAATGATTGGAAAATAAATGTGGAACATGCCCTAAAAGCAGCCATTAATTGGATATTAACAGAGGCACATACGCTTATTTGGTATACGGTAAAAGCAAGCCATTATTAATATAAAATTGAAAAGGAAAGCAAGTCAATGGCATTGGACAGAGAAGAATACTGTAATATAGCAAAGCATAATAAGATGATGCAAAATATGAAAATTAGTACAGTGTAGTTATACTAAACTATATGAATGTGGATGAAATTTACAATCTTGAGCAGGGATGCTCTACCTGTATTTCAGAATAATAATGAATCGTAAATGAGATACTGACTCATCTCGTTTAGATGTTTTGTAGACTCACAGACAAAAGATTCTATTAATAGATTTCAGTAGATAACTGACAAATCATCATCGGGCATGTACAGATGCTAATGAATAAAAATTAGGAAAATATAAAACATTCAAACAACAAATTAATGTGAATACTAAACAAAGTGTCGTACCATATTCATTCATGTTGGTATCAGTACGGAATTTTGTTTTAATAGGAATATTTTATGCATTTTAGTATTTAGGCCAAATAAAAAAATTACTAGTTCCTCATCCCCTCCCTTCCGCATCTATTTTTTCTGCCTCACAATTTTATTTTTATTTCCTTTTTACTATGTATGAAAATCTGGCTAACTCGCATCAGTAAAATTTTTCTATCGATCGTTGTGGGGATACATATGGTATGAATCATGTCTGGTGCTTCTTTTATTTGCTTTCAAATTTGTCTACTTGGTAAAAGTGAGAAATTAGTAGCGGTTCCCATCAACCATCTTGGATTTTCCGTCTCAACCACTAAGACTAGCTTTTAATATAACATTGAGTTGCTCATAAACTCTATGGTAGAGTCAAGTACCTTTCAGTGAGATATAATTTTATCAAGGAAATATATAGTTATTAAATGCATGGTAACTACACAGAAAGTAATATTAATAAAGTTTGTATTATTTTTTTCAGTCCAATTTGTTTTGAAGTTATTGAAGAAGCTCATATGACCAAATGTGGACATAGTTTTTGGTAAGTGTATCTAAATTTATTATTTAAATTTTAGCCAATACATTGCCTTACCTTACATGCTTACTCTCTATTATCAAGAAGTAGGCTTAGTCTAGGTACAAAACTACTTGTTGTATTTTCCTTAGTATGAATATTCTTACAAATTAAAGATTCCTCCATCAGTTTCTCTTTTACTTAAGATTTATTAATCCATATAGACAGGTTCTTGCTTCTCAATAATTCTAAATCAGTGCTCAATAATATAGTTTCTGTTTTGTCGTCATCACTTGAATGAAACATCCATAGTTTCAAAAATAGAAATCAATGTTACTTCAAGCTTTCCATCATTATTAATAGAAGCACTGTAAATATTGTGTGGAAGAACAAGATGTGACCTTGACTGAAATCTTTTGTATGGAATAGTGAATTAGTGAATATGCAATATTCCTAATTTATTGTAAATGAATTGTGTTCTGATACACGTTTTTTTTTTTTTTTAATAATCTGGATTTATATTGCGCCTATCACAAACCGAAGAATACATAAGGCGCTGGCGTCTGTATTACTTTTAGGGGCGGATCCAGAAATGTCCAAAAGGGGGGGCCGGAAGTTGGGCCGATTGAGACAACGTTGTCGTAGGGGGTCCGGGGGTATGCCCCCGCGAAATTTTTGTGTTCTAGACGCCCGAACGTAACATTTGAGACATTCTGGGCTATTATTTTTTTCTTTTTCCCTTTTTTTTTTTTTTTTCTTTTTTTACTTAAGGGGGGGCCGGGGCCGGGCCGGCCCCCCCTAAATCCGCCCCTGACCCTGGTCACTGGATTGGCAAACGAGCAAATTTTGTGCAACTTTCTGTGCTCCCTCTGGAGTATCCCAAATCATGCTACTTTACACGTACAACCTACTAATACTTTCCATGTCACACCGTCCTTCCAGCTACCCATTTATACTTCTGGGTGGAGAGAGGCAAATGTAAGTGAAGTGCCTTGCCCCAAGGACACAAGCAATGTGATGGGCATCAGTCTATGATGTACATTTGATGATTATGCCTGCACGATGTGTATTCAAAATAGAATATAGGATCTTCAGAAGTGCTGCAACTCTATGGACTGATGTAGTATCACAAATGAGGTACTGTATCATCTCCACTGCTGTATGTATCGGAAGTAATAAACATTCTCATCTGAGTTGGGTTACTGGCTGGCTCAAAGAGACAGATGATATTTTAAAAATATAACCTACTTTTATATATTGCAATTTATCAGGTAATACTTCCTGACTTTACTCTATTATTATTTGCTGACCAAAAAAATCTAGCAGTCAGATAATATGCAGCTATTGACAGGTACAAAGAAAGGTGTATAACAGATGAAATGTCTTAAAGCCCCATTCCTAGCAAGATTTCAGTTGTCAAGAAAAATCTGATTTTTATATATGTTACGAAATAATATACGAAATTGCTAATTTAACTATGAAAGATAGTCTGTATTTCTCTTCTTTTTTTTTTTTAATTTTGCGTAAAACTAAAATTTATGCCAATATTTTTCCATTGTTTATAATTAGGGTAATGCATGCATTTTTTCTTTAAAAAAATTTTTTTTAGTGGAATTCTGCTGGGAATGGGGCTTCAATACACTCTGGTACCTGAGGACTCCCAGAGGTCTGACAGAACCTTAGGGCTCTCAGGATCCCGATTGTGTGCTTACTACCATAATCTGAATTACAGAATATTTTACTTTTTTCTTTTTTGTTGCAGCGAGCAAATGATTGGCCGCTGTTCGCTAAGTGCACTCTATGAAAAATGAAGTATTGTTAAAATTAGAGTTTAAATCGATTATGTAAATTGATTATGTAAATTGTTTGAACTTTTAATTTAATACAAAAGAATAATTGTCAATATAAGTTACTCTTGAATCATATTGCTATTGTTACTGATATCATTATGGTTTTACATTATTGTTATAACATCAAAACCCAGAGTACTGTACAGTAGAACAGCATCGAAATTTGAATAGTAGCCAAGGCAAAGTACAGTCTACAAAATTGACTTTGAAAATTGAATTGACTTATCTTTATGAATTGGCAAACCATACTGTCTGTCATTAAATTGCCTTGAAAATCAAGTCTCAGAGTGGCAACTCATGACCGTTTGTCATAATGTATTGGTTGGCTCCATACAGTTGAGGAATTCTAGAGTGCTAACTAGGCAAAAAGCCCGGGAGCATTTTTCGTCTTCAGAAATGACCGCACACTAGCACAAGAGTGGCTCGTGCCAAGATTGGCTGAAGCAATGTCATGTCACAGCAATACTGTGTGTAAAAATTTAATATTTTGTTGCGCCCGTTTGGCTCAAAAGTGAAGTCTACATTGAATTATGTACAGTATGCTTAGATTTATAATTAGACCTTTTGAAAGACCAACTTAACGTAGAATTTACATCACAAAATTAATTGCATTGGCGCTGCATCTTAGCACGCCAGTATTAGTAATGGTACTATAGACTCGCACTATAAATAATTCACTTGTTGAGAATGAGGTCTTCATCTATTGATTGGCTATTATGTAGAGCGTTGGATGTGTGTTGAGACAAATGAACTTCTATTGCGTTCTAGGGCACCTGTTATGACTTCACACATCGTGAATCCTGTAACAATGCTCATTATCTGACCAGTGATTATGACTTGTGAAATTGTGATTTTTAAATTCAGATCATGAATTTAACGTTATGTCGTAATTTTAACAAAAATTGCAGGACTTCAAAATTAAAAATTCAACTGCAGCAATTAGAAAATTGCAAAAATATGTGACCAGCTCTGGCAAAACCAGCCGTTTGTAGGAAAAATTCAAAATTAAGGTGTTTTTAGATTCTGCATGATTCTCTAAAACAGTGTTTATTTGATGGAAAGTGGTTGAGTATCAGTGCAGTTATGAATACAGTATTTATTTCATTGGATATTAGCCATGTAGGTTTTGAGAAAATAGCTTCCAAAGATTCCAAAATCAAGAGTTTATTATTAAGATTTGTATTTTAAAAATAATTTTAATATACTTTTCTGTTAGTTTTAGTGATTGATATTTTGCAGAAATGTTCTTCAATATATATAAAATGCAAAAACATGTAAATGTTTAAAATTCTGATTCTCAAACATTTTGGGTGCTTGTGGGAATAGGAAATTGCAACAAATGGTGAGTTTTGCCAGAGCGGGTCACATATTAGTTTACTCCTAAAGCACTTCTAAAAAGAAACAGTAGATTGTTAAAAAATCATAATTTTAGTCCGTATAATTGGCCTACTGTAGGCATCAAAATGCTGTAATTTTTTTTTTGTATTATAAATTTTACATCATGATGCCTTTCTTTATTAGTGGTTTAAATCCTATTAAAATGCAACACTAACACTTAATAGTGTAGTTTTTAAATTTATTTACACATTATTTTTTTTTTTAAGTGTTTGTATGATGTAGCCTAATGACTGAACTTTAAGTGAAACATTCATTTGTAAATTTGTATGAAAATTATTAGACTTGCATACCATAAAACATGCATTCTTTCTACTGCATCTATACCATAATTTTCTGTTTCATGATTTACTAATTTCAGTACAAGCTCTCATAATTTACTGTATATTGATAGCGAAATAATAAAATTTGCTGATTCATACTGATTGCGTAAGGGTAATGAAGTTAATTAAGTGAGCCAGAAATTCTTTCCATGTTTAAAAATCACCAATTTCCTATCGAACCAGGTAGTTAAAAAATGTCAATGTGATCACTTTGAAAATTATACAATTAGGAATTTTGTAAGGGTGAGATTAAGGTCAAAGTCTGGAATCTCTGTCAAGTACGGTACAAAAGCAACCTCGGATGAGGGTGAAATTATGAAACCGTAATCTGCGCTAATGGCATATTTTTATGAGCTGCAATATTTTAGTATTAATTTACTTTCTAGCCGAATGGTTCAATCCCTAGATTATAAAGTGCAATATAGACTACTGCTAAATGAAATCCAGAATGTCACTGCACACAAAATATCTTTTAAACTGAAATGTAATAAAGTAAGATTCAAAATTGATTTGTTTATTATTCAGCATAGTGTATTTAATTTTTAAAGCCTTTATCATGAATGCAACAATGCACAATTAAGATGCAAGAGAATAGTGGCGACTCTGGCAAATGGGTCTAAGGAGCAGTTGACCTCCATCGAGGAAGCTCAAACCCCACCGTTGGAGAACACTGCTTTGATAAGGCCTTAGCCTCCTTGGTTCCCGGCACTTGTTTGTAGGCCCTCTACTGTAGTAGTTAAGTGAATAAAGTAACTGACAATCGTAGAAAATTATATTGCTGGGCATTTATAGGTACATTCGTAAAATTTTCCCCAAACTCTGGACTTCAGAGGACCTTTGACCCCTTGTCTGAGGATTTTTGCTGCCACCATGGGAGAGTAAACGGTCATCAACATTCACAGCATTCTGTTCACAATGCACCGATGAGCAGTAATCTCTGCTTGTAATTTTTGTAACTTTATATTTCATTTTTAATATGATTTTGATTAAATTGATTAATTGATTTAATTTTTTTTTTTTTTTTTTTGTCCCACTACAGTTACAAGTGTATTACTAAGAGTCTGGTAGAGAGCAACCGTTGTCCCAAGTGCAATTTTTTCATAGATAAGAGCGACCAAATATTTCCAAATTTTTCATGTAAGTAGTCTGTATTTTTTATATATTTTTTTGTTGCTTTAACTTTGATGAGATTTTGTTTGTGCCTTGTTTAGTGAAATTTATTTTGTTTTTGGAAGTATAATATAATAACATCTCTGTGATTATAATTACTATCCTGACACAGAACACCATTGGAATATCTTTGTGATTATGATATTCATTTGGTATTGTATTGGATTTCAATTAGCAATTGTAAAAAGAAATCCAAAAATAAACTTTCAGTATTTGCCCAATCCAGAGTGACCCAAAATGTAGAAAGTCTTGGGTCAGGTTTTTTTTTTGTCTGCAGGGGTACAATTAGCCTAAGATATTTGATGTTTCAAAATTCCTGTTTAAAAGTTTTGTTAAGTACAGTACATGTGCTGCAGGATTGATTTTAGCCCTGTGGTGTGGTAGCCCCATTTAACCACAATCCCATAGACTTTAATCATGGAGGTATAAATTTGGTTTAACCAACTAAAGGTATGGTTCGAGTGGCATGTGTGACAGCAGTGAATTCAAAACTACTGCATGCCAATTTTATTTAAATTGCCGGCCAACCAACCAACACTGATTTCCAAATGTCATTGTGTTTGGCCAACACATTCTCGCATATTTTCGTCAAATATTTTGTTTGTCTTACAACATATCAAAAAATGTTTTTCCTATGAAGCTACTAACTGTACAAACACAATTTTAAATGCGGGGAAATAAACTTTTGATGAACATTTAAAAGCCCATAAAAAAGGTATTGTTTGGAGGAGTAGCCCTACATTTTGGCTCCATTTTAGCCAACTACTCTATACAGTATCAAGACTATAAAAAGTGGCAAAAAGTAGGAGTAGCGACGGTGAAACAAGGGTGTCGTCTTATACGCTCGACATACCAGAATCGTCCGACAGTCTTTCCAAACTCGGGGTTGTCTACCACAGATCGCCTTATACACCAGAATATACAGTATTTTTTGGCCTATAGTATGTGTGATACAGTAATACAAGAGAGATACTGTATACTGCCACCAATCATGATTTGAACCCCATTTCTTTGATGTGAGATAAATACCGATCACAATTTAACTCATTGCTTGGAACAAGTTTTTATTGATGAATTTCCAGGAGTGCAATCTGTAGTTTGCATACTGTATAGTATACTGTACTTTACCATCAATTACTATATAATTTAAGTGATTAGGCCTGCTGTACTGTACATTCCAAGCCAATCTCTTCTGCCTTGACTTCTATAATTTACTAGGATTTAAAAAGCTCTTAGCAGAGTTGTAAACATGTGAACTTACTGTACATCATACAACTGTCTGATAAACAATGTGTATATGAACCCTTAAACACTTGGACTGTATTGTAGATACAATTACACCTTACAATGTTTTAATAATACTGCAACCTACTCTATTATATACAGCAGCACAATAAAATTTCCAGTTAACTGATATGGAAAAACAGTCTGATCATTCTTCCTAGGGGTAGTTATACTTACTGCACTGCTTGGGTAATTTGACTACTTTAAGGAGAATGTCCATATACAAACAATATGATTCTGTAATTATAAAAAGTAGATTATAAAAACAAAATTATAAATAATAAATGCAAACATAATAAAAAAAAATATTTTTAGTCATTTATATGAAATATAATATCTTTTTACTTTAGTTGAATATCTATTTTTTATTATTGTTTTATGTGAACTTTCATTTTATTTCCATACATTATCACTTAACTTGTTGCACATTAACCATTCAAAATTATTTACACCAATAATACCTTTATAGTTAATATTACCTGAATACAATTAGCTTTTTCTTTAGTTGAATATTTATCTCTGCTTAAATTGTTTTGTTTTTTTGTGAATTTTCATTTCAATATATTTATAATTAGTTATGCAGAATGTTTGCATTGAATTTTTTTGTCAAATTTACTAGGTAATAAGGTACAAGCTAGTCAGTATGTCCAGGGTTTGTTTGACAAACAAACAAACCCTGGACATACGGACTTGTTTGTTTGACAAATAAAATCCAATGAGAACAGGACTTTAGTCAAAACTAACCCAATCTGAACGTGGCTTACGATCTATGCCAAAGATATGAGTGACGTCTCCAGATATTTTCATCATTACTGTAGGGCCTATCACGTTTCCACAATCTTTTTTTTTAAGCATAACATATTCAAGCATCAAATCTAAAATGGCCCAGTATTCTATTGCACATTATGTCAAAATCATGTAGGAAATACTGTATGTAAACCATACAGTAGTAATCATGCATTCTAAATTTTATGTAGTATAGACCTACATATTGAGTAATAACAAATTAATCTACCAAACTGTTAAATACCTTTTGATCAAAATGATTTTTAATCAAGCAATTTGTCTACTACTGTACATTAAAATCTATTCTTGGTCTACAGTATTCCTGAAATAGACCATTTCCTGTCTGTAGTAAATGTATTTAATTACAGTACAAACTACGCATTGCACACCTACTAAAGGAGATATAAAACCATGATTTATTGCAGATATAAAAAAAAGATTGCATTTATTGTAATCTATTCTTAAAGTAGTCTACAATGTCATTACATTTCCTGTTGAAGATTATGCATTCATTCTGTTTTTTGTTTTGTTTTTTTTTTAAATTTTTTGTGAGGTATTTATTTGCCATTAAATTATCTCCTTGTAGGGTCTTTTATTATTATAGGTTCTTTGCTTTTTTTATAGAAAATATAAGTAGTGATTATACAGTCATTAATTTAACATTTATAATAGAAATTGTGGCATCGACTGTAATTTGAATTTGGGCAAATAGTAATTTTAATTGAATTTTAACTAAATCTTAGAAATTAACTTTCGAAAACATGTGTTTTAAAGCATGCACTTCATTGCGTACAGCATCAGGGATGTATGGTGAGAGGAGGTGGAGTTTCATGGCCCTGCATCCACCCTTATTAACTCGCTTCTTCTTATTATGTACAGTTTAATAATGATATCACCTACCCACCCTTAATATATCTTACCACACACCCTTATACAGGTAGTTTTCTATAGATACAAGCCTGCAGTATCCCATTGTTTGTTTCTACACAGAATATTTAATAACTAATTTGCTACCTCCAAACCATGATACTGTACTTCAGCTTAAAATAGATATGTTCAAATGACAAACCCGCATTTATATGCTACACACGCTGACTGTGATTTTAACATTTTGGACACATAAGCTAGGCCTATATAGAATTGTATTGCCATCCAATATAGGGATAACAGGAAGACTATAATGATATCACCTGACATCCTGCCTGGCTAATGTACGGATTAATCTTCTGCCATACAAATTAGAAAAACCGGGCTGGATAAAACGATTGTGGAAGTCATCATTTTGCCATTACCTGTTCGTATTCGAAGCTTAAACTCTTGAGCGCAAGATGCTCCAATCATATGATCCATTACAACTATCATGGGAGCAAGTTGAGTTGTTGAAATTACAACTTCTGTTCAATCTAGAGTCATCTCTTAAAGCCAGACAGGAAAATAGGTTTTGTGTTTTTAAGTCCCCATACAATAATTATTGCCAAAACCTTTAAAAAAATTGGGAAAATTAAGCGTGGATTTTATTTTAATTTTTGACAATAGTAGAATTGTTTTAAATTTGGACTTTACTAGGTAAAACTATTGTTAAATAAAGTTTAAGATGATTTATGAAATGGTATAATCTACCTATGGATTGATCAAACAATAAAAAAAATAAATATTTATGATTTTTTTCCTAGTGAATAAATGTTGTTCTGGACTTTTCTTTAATTTGATTATTTCTAAATTTTAATTTTCAATAGTTGATTTTAAAAGTATATCAAAGGATTGTAGAACTATTATGGACTCATCTGTAACTGTCCAATTGATAGGCCACTCCGCAACAATGCTACTACCTAACAAGGAAATTTTAGTTTTTACCCAATAAATACTTGTTTTTTGTACAGTAAATTATTCCTAAGAATTTGATTCATATATGTGTGTGTGTGTGTGTGTGTGTTTGGGTGATGTTTTGACTAGAAAGATGATGAATGTGCCGTAAGCTGCAAACATGTAAATTAAATTTAAACATTTTTATTTTTGAATAAAAATTTATTTTGTATTCGCTTAACAGTAAATGAACTGATACTGAAGCACCGACAAAGACAAGAGGAAAAGAGACCTAAACTTGGTCATATGGTATGGAGTACTGTACTTGTATTCAAATTTGTTTTAACTGTGTATTAAGTTAAGTTAAAGCTTCTGACGTAATTTAATCATGTATTATCATGTTGTAGTTTTGTGCAAAGTTTACAATCACTGAAGAAGAAGTATTATATTATTTGTATGGTAACCATAACTATGATGAATATAATTTTTTATCTCCATATTCCAAAATTTACTTCATATTTTGTGCTATCAGCGTCATAGGAAATAGATGTCTTCCAAGTCATTACTTTAAGACAAGAATGAATGCCTGTTCAAGTTGTTACCGTAGTAGTGATTGAGTGGAAGTTTAATTTGACTTCTCAAAGGGAAATCCCCTTCTACTAAAAGTGCCAATAATATATGTGGTATAAAATAGAGAGAAATATTAAACATAGTATAGTAGGAGGCTTCTGTATTCCAACTGATATGTGGTACCATATTACTGAAGGAGGATTTCAAAAACTGCAAAAGTGGTTGAAAAGAATTTATTTGCTTCCATCAGAAAATAAAATCAGATGGTAACATTCTAGTATAAATATTTAGGCACTGTCGCATCGATTATACATCTTTTTCTGATTGTTTTTTTTTTTGTATTTTTTTTCAGAATACCCACCAAGATTCAAATTTTATGGATTTACTAAGTAGCCATGACAAGTGGGAACTGTCAGAGGTCAACTTTGTTTTGGAGTTCCTTGTCAACAAGAAACGAAGACTGGAGATGGTAAGCAAACTGATTATGCAGATCTGTCTCTAATGAGGACTCTGTATTACAAATCACCTACTAATTATTTATCCTTTCACTTAGTCGTTTTTACATTATGTAGATTTATATAGTGAGATCAGATAATTTTTATGTATCAATAACTACATGTACTATAATAAGGAAATTACATTACATTTTATTAGAATTTAATTTTTTTTTAAAGAAATTTGGGGAAAAAAATCCAATAATGTGAAGTCTGTCTACTTAGCGAAGCTGGCATGCACCCATGAAAAAGAACAGAGTAGATCCAAGATTTTAACATTTATCAGATCATCATCTTAGATTGCAGTTGCAATGAACATGGTCATTGACCTGTGGAAATCACAGCCAAGCCACAAGTCTCGTACTCTAGCTTTCACATTACTTCAGCCATACAAGCTTCATACACAGTTGCCAACAATACAAAACAATTTCCATGTCAATGCAGTTATTTGCACACATTGTAGAAAAATATCTTATTCAGTCTGAATAAGGTAGTAATGTGAAGACAAATTGGTCTGTATTAAAATAGTTTTGTGAAAATGAGTTACACAATCTTCTACTGTATGAAGTTGTTGGATGCTAATAATTCACTCTCTGTAGTCTTATGAAATCACCATAAATAATTCTTTTTGTTTTTCTACTGAAGCATTTGAGTGTAAAAGTATTTTTTTTATAAATGTTATTGGTTTATTGAATGTTAAACTATTTAATGATATACCAGTGAATACGCAGGTTGGCAAATACCTCATTATTTACTGCACTTCCCCTTTTAAGTTCTAGGAACGGCTTCATTTCCTCTTTCCGATCTGCTTTAAAGTCCAAATATACATGTGCATTTCTGATGGCTGACTCCCCACTGGAAATTTAAAATCCTCATTGACATTGAGTTACTCACTGATCTCATTAAAATGTACAAATTCTCAACTATATTCATACTGTACAAACATAATGTGACAGTTGACAATATTTGAACTAATTAAATGTATGCAAATAAATCTATAAGAACCTTGCTTCTAAACCGATTATTCCTAAAGAAGTGTTTGACTCATTAATTTCAGTTTTAATATTGCGATGTTGAGTCCACAGTGAATGATCTAAAGATTATCAACTAAAAGCATGTTAAAAAAAAATAATTATTTTCCTTTAATGTATTTATGTAGGTCATTACTAAGGTTGATGATGTACTGTGTTACTGTTATGCAGTATTTTTTTGTTTTTGTTTTTTGAGATGTGCTTACTAGTACAATGGTAATATATACCTATCACTATCAGCTTTTTGTGTTATGCTTTTTTTTTTTTTTTTTTTTGCTCTTTTCCTGTCAGTTTTTCAAAGACACTTGCTTCAGTGACTCATAGAAACTGGATGCGCTCTATAAATGCCCACCAATACCAGTATCGTTACTCTTTTCGAATCACTGTATAATACTTTTTTCTTTTTTATTTTATTGGACCGTTTGTTAAATATACAGTAGTTGAAAAAGATGAATTTCTTACAAGAGTTACCATCTCCATTACATATTTGATAATGAACTCTGATAAAGGAAATGGTGTACAAACAGATTTACTACTTAATAAGAAAACCAATTACCTTGCCTCAATGACAAATTTAAAGACATTGATGGAGTTCCCCGATTGCCATGCCGTGCACAACTGAACTACTGGAAGCATCCCTCCAAGTAAATTATAGATATTGGACAATACAGGTTTCCCCATGTATTGGTGAACATATTATTATTGTACATGTACACTACTTTGAGATGCTTTTATGATTTCCCCTAAAATTGCGCTGTTCAGAAGTGAAACGTCTTTGCGTAAGTTAGTAATTCAAATGGGCAATATGTAGGCTAGGCTTACTGTAATTCTGTAAACACAATGTATACTGGCATTTTACTGAGCAATATTTAGTAACTTGCTTATAGCAGGTGAGGAGAAGTACTTAGTGAAAGATTACCGGATGACATTCAATAACATTAAGGATATACAGGAAGAGATAGATTACTGTAGATGACGGTTTGCACATGCTCAGTCTGTATGGTTCAAACATTATTGTTGATGTTTATGTTCTTATAAAAGTCATGGTATGATGTATTTGTAAATCAATTATAATTAATAATATTTAATATTATTTGTTACGATCATTAATAATTGTTTAATTTAGCTTTGCTACAATTACCGTTGATTATAAATTTTTATACTGCTAATTGCACATGTTATATTATTATTATTATTATTTAATTGTTATATTATTGCTGTTATTATGTTAATATTGTTATAATAATTTAATAATTATTATTATTACTATTATTGTTATTATTATTATTATTATTAATATTGTTATTATTGTTAATGACTAGTAATATTGTTTATTGCTATCATCAATATTTCAATCAATCAAGTAATCTTTATTCCACAAATAAATTTGATACATCTTTATCACATTTCAGTATTAGTGGAATAGGGTATCCCACCACAACCACTACTCGTATGAATAGTATGATCATTGTATTGTTATGAACTGTTTATTTTACTGTACAGAAATTCTCCATGTTTTATTGGAAATTTTTTGCTGACTTCCTTTGCCGATGTCCATAAAATATATCCATGCTCATATAAAAATAACTGATGTTTACAGTACACTCTGGATATTAGGCAACCTGCAGCAGAATGGCTGTTATTAATGAAGTGTAATTCTCGTTCAATGACCACATCTGATTTCCGGTGACCATAAAGTTGTTGCATCGTCTCACTGTGTGATGATAAATTGACGATTTTACAGACTTGTTTTTAAAACCTGACCGGCACATAGGTTTTTAAGCATGGTGATCTCTATAGCAATGAGTATGTCATCAATAGAACACACAAAAAGGTTGCTTAAAGTTGCGTTTGAGTGATGAGTACAGTACCTCATTACGTTGTTTCCTGATCCTTTAGTGCTATTAGATGTCGGTGTATGTGTCACTTTGTAATAATGACACACAATTCACATTTTTTCATTTCCACGTAATAATATCAGCTTATTAACAAGAATAAAACAAGTCATGTTAAATGGATATCTGCGTAACAATAGAAAAGATAATGTGTAAATGGTATTGTATATTGTACAGTATTTGCACTTCCTACATCAATCATGTATTATACATGTATATATAAATATTTGTATTTTCTTAATTACATAGTTTTAATCATAAAAAAAAAGTAATAATAAATGAATGCTGTGCAAGCAGGCTGGAATTGCAAGCAAGTTTGTCTGTTCTTATAATTTCAATTCATATAATACAGAAATGTTTGCATTGCATTACTTTCTGATAAATTCTACATTTAAAGATTTAAAAATGTGTCAATAAGAGAGAAAATTGTTAATAAAATATTTGATTGGCTACTCAATCTTCTTTCTAGTTTTAATTTATAAATTTTATTTTTCAGGATAGTCAGTTTGCTCAGAACCAAATATTAAGAGAATTTCTTGACCAAGCAAAAAGGAAAAAACAAGAGGTAAGTAGTTAGAAGAATGATATTTAAACCAACACCATAAACGTATACATTATTTGTTATGTAAATATTGGCACATTATTTACATAACTTTCTGTACTTAGTAATCATTTTCTGATTAATAAATAAATAGATTTCATATAAATTAAAATGCACCCCCCCCCCCAAACATTTTTCTCTACTGACCCTAGGGTATGTGAACCCAAGTTAGCACTGTAAAATATAGCCAACTTGGCTTTATAGATCATTTCATAGAACCAACCAACCATGATAAGCATAGTATATAGGTCCCAAGTTCCAATATTTGAAATGCCACGTTATTAAGGCCAATGCGCAACTACAAAACAGTACAGTACATCAACTTCAATCCTCCCAGAAACAAACTTTATATTTTCCTAGTGCCATTTCCAGTGATCACTTTATTATAAATGATTTTTTTTTTAAAATTCTAAACACATTTTAATAATTGCATTTAAAAATGATCAATTGTAAAAAATACACTGTTAAATCAACTGAAAAATAAAGTGTTGATACACAATACATTAATATACTTCATTTTATGCAAAAATTCAGTTTTTATGTTCTATAAACCAAAATAAAAGATCTTTAGGCCTCAGACTTTAGTGCTTTGGTTTTCCTCGTGGGTCAGTAGGTAATTGGTGTTGGTATACAGGTCTGGTCTGACCTGACAGTTACTGATGACTTGAGACCTACAGTACTGTTATGTAGAAAAGTCTTGGGTTAGAATGTACCATGTACTGCATTGTATTTAACATGTATTGTTTACATTCACAGCAAGTAAATGAACTTCAAAAGCAATTACATGTATTGGAGGAAGATCGAAATCGTATAGAAGAAACACTGTCCAAGCAAAGAATCTCTTATTCTAATATTTTTCCTGTAAGTTATATACATTGTTAACTTTATTAATCCAATGATTCGATCTCATAATACAAAAAATATTGCTTGTTTGCAAAAGTAAAAGACTCCATGATACACTTTACAAAGAGGATTTTTAGATATTCATTTGCACATTAAGTTTTATCTTCTAACTTTTTATCAATATTTTTACAGGATAAAAGCGTAGATGAAAATGGAACATCTCCATCTACAAGGTATGTTGTCAGATAGAGTTTAGTATTGGCATTAAGACAATTGAATCAACTCAAATGTATTACAAATTCAATATTTTTATCCAATTTCTCCAAGGTTGATATGCTCAGTGTAATGAATAGTATGAGTGGCCATATGTGCAATTGTGACAATTTGACCTGGTTAATTTATATCAAGATTTTAATGTAACACTTTTGTGTTAATTACAGTTTTAAAAAATCTAAAATATATCTGCAATATCAAATACAGTGTAAGAACTAATTATTTTATAGTAACTAGAAATCACTCATTAAATGACAATTAAGGTATTACCATTCACTAGATGAGATAAGATTTATTTCATCATCATACATGATGCAAAATACATATGAAATTTGCCTTCCTGCATTGTAAAACAATGAGGAAACACACAACAAATAGATTTCAGAAGCGGTTTGGCCCAGCGGGAACAGTTTTGTTTCCCAACATCGACGTCAGGGTTTCAATCCCTCGCTGTGCATTTAGCTTGCATCCTTGAGCAAGGCACTTTGCTTCTCTCCACCCAGGAATATAAATGGGTACCTGGTGGAGTTGCCTGTTGCTGTGCTGATTACCAGCAGCAACACTTAAGCAAATTTGCATTTTAGAAAAAGGTCGATGACCTTTTGACCTCTAGTGACGTTAATAATTGTCGGATTAATTTTATTGAAACTGCATATGATTAGGAAGCATATATGCTACACATTGCTACCAAAATAATATTGATGGGATTTTTAAATCACAGGTTATGGGCATAAATGTTATCCCTCCCCCCCCCCCCCCCAAAAAAAAGTATTGACCATAAAACACTAATGACCATTACAAATGACGCGAGTATTTTTCTTGTTAACATCAGATTTTTTGTTTTATATGCCCTAGGAACAAAATGATACCAAGGAGGTTTAACTGTGTGGGGGGGGGGTCCACGGTGAACCCCCTTCCTTCCCCCCAACCCATGGCCTTTGTGGACTCAATGACCAGGGAAAAACAAAGCACTTTGTAACCTAAAGGAATAGGCACTATGTAAAAATGTGAACTAACTAAATGCAAACTAAATTAAAATTATTAATAACTTTGCACTTTCCAAAAACATTAAAAAAAAAAAACAGTTACAAATATTTGAAAACTATTACACCATAAAGAATGAAGAAGGTTTCCTACAAAAAAAGAAAAAAATAATAATCAAAATATTTGCTACAAAACATGTTTCTACCATATATCATTAATTAATTGAATATTAATGATGATTTGTGGAGTTATATACTTAGCTTTAATTCCATCACAGGTGCAACACTTTGTCTTATATTTCAATTGTTTTCATATAATATTTGTATCATAATTCCCAACTTGGGTTGTATTTATATTATTCATTACTTAGGCACTGACAGTTAAAAAATTTTGTCTTTTCAATATTTATTACTGAATATTTATCAATTTGCTTTTTGAATAGAAATAATAATGTTATATGTCTTAATTCCAAGTTTGTAAATGTATTTCATATGGCTTGCCTTATGACAATATGACTTCTGAATTTTGATATGATTATATTGTGAACCTTCCTTTTACAAAATGTAAAATCAAGCAATGAAAGAGTTATTCTATTTTTATAACTTTGCTTCCTGATTTTATAATCATCATTTTAACCTTAAATACATCATGTAAGATATCCAGTTCAGTTGATGATTGGTTTTTATATAATTTCCGGCATGATACTGGTATGTATAAACAATCTATTTGGCCTTAATTCTGTTCAGCTTAATATTACTATGCTTTAGGGAATTCAACTTTAACAGTATGATATATGCGAACATCTGTACTCATTTTATTGCCTGTAAGATTTGCCATCGTTATCCGCCTTCTGCTAGTTAATTGACTCTGCTTGGAAACACCAAGCTTTTATACGGAAGTAGCCGTCAGAGATTTGTCAGAGTGAGTTTGTGCGTTCCAGATCTTCCTTTATCTAATGAATTTCAATTTTTTTATTACTTGCAGTACAAATGTATCAATATGTGCGAACACTGATGGTGTAAGTGACACAGAGTCCCCCCAGGATGGTTTCAATGGTAGTAAATATGTAAGTGTTCCTAACATTCCCCAACCATGATGTTTTTGATTGATTGAAATGTAATTACTGGTTATGAAGTTACCATCCAGTATTCTATTTAAAAGTTTCACATAATGTTATTATAATAATTAAATTGTATATTTTTGTATATTTTGCCCGATATATTTCACAGAGTGGTCGACATCAGTGGCTTAATTCGACAATAGCATCTAGGAAGAAAAAGCTGTACAATCATTTCACTGACCTGGAATCTTGTTACTTTGCGATACGACAGAGTCAATTTGAGCCGAGTAAGTTATCACTCTCTAACCTGCAATTAATCCAACCTTTACAGGATATGTATCAACATAGGTAATTAAGAGGATATATGCATTGCATGATATTCAGATTTTGAAACCTATCAAATGCTTTGCCTTTGTAACATAGAAAGTAGAACTTTGGGGGTGAATTTATTGCCTTCCATTCAAAGGGTCTTGGCTCAATTCCTGTTCCCTACAATATTGTAGACATGTATGGGAAAAAGTACAGGTATGGTTACTACAGCTATGTCTTTTTGTGTATGAGGTACTGTAGACTTGTATGGAAAAACTTGATTCGTCTACAGTACTGTTGGCGCGGATGAAGGAACCGTAGAGATATAGTAGCCATGATTGTGGGTAATGCATATACCTTTCAATCAGTTATTGTACTTTTACTTTGCCAATTAAATATTATTAAATATTTTTGTTATTAGTAATTGTTTTTTTTTTCATGTAATATTTATCATATTTTCTTTATTCATTATTATTATAATTTTCATTGTTTTAATATTTTTTTTTATATTTCTAAAAATTTGTCTTTTTCCTAAGCATAATCAACTTTTGTTTATATTTCAACTTAAAAAGTTATTGGATATACAAATACTGACAGTTCACTGTTTATTTTTATTAGCTATATAATTTAACAGTGACTTGTCAATTACATGATGGAACAAACCGTTTGATGTTCAATGTTATGAGGTTTTGGGAGAACAGAATATAATTTAATCATAAGAAAAAATTCAGGGAATCTTGTAATATTTCAGGCAAGGCCCCCTGGGATTGTATGACATGCATCTAAACTCCAGGCTACTGATCCACCCCTTAAGACAGCAGCACACATTCTTATTAGTTTGTTTAGTAATCTTCAAACATATCTTGATGTATTTTTAGGTGAATCCAGTTCTGTTGATTTACTTGGTAAATTCAAAGACTGTTTGACAAAGTTCACCAAATATAGCTCAATTCAACCACTAGCAACGTTAAGCTATGCAACAGATATCTATAATAGCTCCAGTATAGTGTCCAGGTGAGAAATGTGTAATAATTGTAATCTCTGCAATCGTGTTTAAAAAAATATAAAAAAATCACAACAATGAAAGAAACATTTATGTAAACTGCTTAGAGAGATCTGTGATCCATTAAGCTGGTTTTCTACTAGGCGAATTTATTCGCGCTAAGGAAAGCTTCGCTTCCTAAGCTCTGATTGGCTGTGCATTTTTTTTGCTTCGCAAAAAGTAGAAACATTTCAAACTACTGATTTCGCTGAAGTGAAAACTCCGATAGAAACGTGAATGCGTAGGAACCAACGCTTTCGATTCGAGCAAATAAGTTCGTCTAGTGGAAAACTGGCTTCTGGCGCTATATAAATACGGTATTATTATTATATTATTATTATTATAATTTATTTAATTATATTTTATATCAATCTAAAATGTCAATTTGTATACTTTTTATACTTAATATACTTGACAGTTTTACGCATATTGGCTACATGGATGTTTATTCCAATTTCTATTAATAAACAATTGATGAGGAAGTAATAATGGAAATAATACTAATAAAAGCATTGTTTTTATTACAGTATTGAGTTTGATCGAGACAATGAATTTTTTGCAATAGCTGGAGTAACTCGCAAGATCAAAGTTTTTGAATATGCAACTGTGATTCAAGACGCTGTTGATATTCATTACCCAGTAACAGAGATGCTTTGCAGCTCCAAGATAAGGTATTAAAATGCAATGTAACTGGAATTATTGTGTATAGTTCTCCCTCCAATTAAAGACCCTTACAATTAAAACCACCTCTAATTAAAAGCCACTTTTATTTGGTCCCAAATTAAAAAATGTCTTTTTTCTTTATTATTCTAATTAGAGGCTAAAGACCATGGAAACCCTGATCCCAAAAATGGTTTTTAATTGGAGGGAGACTGTTACTTCTAAATTGCCAATTTATTAACACTTAAAAAATGAATAGAATAACAAATGATCTTTGACATATACTGATTTGGATATTTTGTACTTCAATGCCAAACTATAGATTAGCTTCAAATCTTATTTCTATTGTAATCAAACATCAAATTACCTAATAAGGTAACACACAAGAAGAAATTCAAATATACACACTGACAAAAGGAAACAAAAATGTGTTAGATTAAATGAAATAGGGCATTTAAAATGAGCAATGCTTTTTCCAAGAAGCCTTGATAAAATTGTAACACTAAAACTATCAACCTCTTTCTGCTATTAGTATTACTAAGCCTCAGATGTATTATATAACAAACTCATAAAACTTCCGGTACAAATATGGTTTTTGGGGTAAAACCACTGGTTGGTTGCCTCAACATTTTGGTGAGATTGATCTGAACGTCATTGGAGAATGATATAAAAGATGACTTCTGTTGGTCTTAAATAGAGAGGGTAATCATCGGTGATCTATTGTTTCCCTTGAAACAAAGAAGGTGTGAAATGAAATGTTGAGACAACCAACCAGTTTTTTTACCTCAAAAACCATATTATTACACATGGTGTACCAAAAGTATTATGATTTTGTTATTGATACTCGCCATGCAAACCTTCAAGAAATATATATTTTATAATAATGAATGTTTATGAGCGTAATCAGAAGAATGTTTTCATGAGTTGAAATATGGACCATTCGATTAAACAAGCCAGTGGTTGTTAAATAGCATTCTGGGTGAGACAAGTTTGCCTGTTTACATAAACTTTGTCCTTGTTTAAAATTGTGCTGCATGGATTGTAGTTAAATCCTAGAAATTGCAGTAGCAATTATCTCTGATAATATTTTATGTTTTTAATTTTTTTTTCCATTGTATATAGTTGTATAAGTTGGAATGCATACCACAAAGGAATCTTAGCAAGTAGTGACTATGAAGGAAATGTGACATTATGGGATGCATTCACAGGGTCTGTGTCAAGACTTTTCCAGGTTAGAACCATTTTACCTCCTTTATGTTTTTTACTTGTCCACACATGATGTAGTAAAATATGATTATTTTTTTGTATTGTTTAGTCATAGTTTACAACTTTTGCTTGTTTTTCACATTGTATTTTGTATGTTTTACTGAATGCCAGCATTCAAGTTTTTATTTTCTTATGTCTCAAACTTTTCTTTCTCCTTCCCCTGTATTTTTTTTTTCTTTTCTAATTTTCTCTCTTCCAGTTGTCTCCATTCAGCTTCATTTTTTGATTACCTCCTAGATCTGTATATTTATATTGAATGAAGAATGGTTGAAAATTGTAAACTTCTTTTTCTTTAAATACTTTTAGGAACATCAAAAGAGATGTTGGAGTATAGACTTTAATAAGATGGATCCAAAACTTCTTGCATCGGGATCTGATGATGCCAAAGGTAACATAAAATAATACACACGATAAAGCTTAGCCTGAATGTTCATTTAATGTTTCCAGGGAATACATTTCTTTAATAGGCTGTGTGTTTCAGTAATAATGCTGCTCTCTTAGAAAACAAGAATTTTGTGTATTTGTTGAAGTATTTTTATAAGGCTGTATTTTAATCAGTGTAAATGGTTTTTTTCTTTGTGATGCAGAGAAAAACAGACAAAGCAGATTAGTAATCATCATAATGACTATTCATATTTCATAATGACTATTCATATTTCATAATGACTATTCATTTTTCTTTCCTTCAAATAAACAAATATAGCAGTAAGGACCAAAATTTATCTGGAAGGGGAGAGTACAGTACATTTTGATTTTTGCTACTTCACTATCCAAGAGACAGAAAAATAAATCTTGTCGCTAAAAACAACCCAACTCCCTAAGCCCCAAATTGTAAATTAGTTTATAAAACATGTGGTTTCCCAGTAAAAATTTTTTTTTATATTGCCATACAATTTATTCTTGCTAACCTAATAGTTTACATACTTATGTAGCATGTTTCACAATCCCATAAAGTATAAAAGTAGGTTTTGAGGAAACGACTTCCAATGATTCTAGAATCGCTCTCCAATTAAAGACCACCACCAATTTAAGACCACTTTTCTTTGGTCCATGTTAACAAAGACCAAAGCTGCTAAAGACCATGGAAATCCCAGACCCAAAAATGATCTTTAAGTGAAGGGAGACCTGTATTGGTATTCTAAAAATAATTTTAATATACTTTTTATATTTAGTGATTAATATTTTGCAGGAAATTTTTCAATATCTTTTATGTCTCAAACTGCAAAAACATGAAAATTGTTGAGCACACACAAAATTAGAAACAGCGATAAATGTAAGTTTGGTTAGAACTGATCGCATGTCTTTCTATTCTTCAGTAATGTATTTTTTTGTTTACATTTCAGTGAAGTTATGGTCTACAAATATGGAACAGTCTGTGACATGCATAGAAGCCAAAGCTAATGTATGCTGTGTTAAGTTCAATCCAAGCAAGGTGTATGATATTACATTTGGATCAGCAGGTGGGTTCATTATCATTATCATCATAATTTATTTTCAAACTTTTTATTTTGTTTATATCTGTACATTGTGAAGTATGATAATCAATTCAAAGCCTATCCAGATTATCATATGTCACTTGCCTACTTATGGTTATGATGACATCACATCATGACCATATATTCCGTTTTAATTTGTTCATTTAGTTTTATATCGAAAAGAAATTTTTAAAATGTTATTGTTATCATATTTAGTACTATAATTTTTCATATTTGCGATTATTATTTTTGATAAATGATTCTATGGAATTCTTGTTCATTATGAACTGTTATTATTTGTTTCTTTTCAATGGATAACCAATTCCTAAGCATAAACAAGAACATGTTTTTAATAATCTCTTTGAAATTGAGTTGAATCATTTAAATGTTGTTCTTTTAGATCACTGTGTCCACTATTATGATTTACGGAATCCAAAGAAACCTTTGAATATTTTCAAATTTGCGATTATTATTTTTGATAAATGATTCTATGGAATTCTTGTTCATTATGAACTGTTATTATTTGTTTCTTTTCAATGGATAACCAATTCCTAAGCATAAACAAGAACATGTTTTTAATAATCTCTTTGAAATTGAGTTGAATCATTTAAATGTTGTTTTTTTAGATCACTGTGTCCACTATTATGATTTACGGAATCCAAAGAAACCTTTGAATATTTTCAAAGGTCATAAAAAAGCAGTGTCATATACCAAGTTCCTTAACTCTGAGGAAATCGTATCAGCGTAAGTAGATATAAGAACCATTTAAATTGTTTTTTATTAATTTGGTAAAGGGTGTTTTAATTAATGAACTGACAGTTCCATGTTGATTGTTTATAATTATATTTATTATTTAATTGGTTGATAAATTTGTTTGTGTTAATTTTTATAAATATACCAAGGAAAACATTTTTCAATTTTATTTGTTTTTTAATAGGTCAACTGACAGCCAATTAAAACTATGGAATGTAAATAAAACAAACTGCCTTAGGACTTTTACTGGTCATACAAATGAAAAGAACTTTGTTGGCTTAACAGCAAATGATGGGTATATTGCATGTGGAAGCGAGAACAACTCTCTATCTGTATACTACAAGGGTTTATCAAAGCAACTTTTAGCCTTCAAGTTTGATACCATTAGAAGTGTACTGGTAAGCATAACTTTTGATTATTACATTTTTTTAATTATTTTTCTTCAATTTATATTAGGCAGATGATGGTGATAAGTTTAAAGGTAAATTTAAATATTTAGCTCTCAGCTCCCAGGCCGGAATACCCATCTCTTTCCTTGGATTTTTGGACCAGACTGTGTTATGCAGTAGAGGATCGCCATTCCTTCAACACGACAAGTCTATACCTTTGTAGAAATTATGTCGGTACCTATTTATACTTTTGAGTGGAGAAACATAAAGTACTTTTCCGAAGGTCAGAATTCACAAAGGGTTTTCAACACCTGACCTCAAGGTTGAGAATTCAAGCCACAACTGATAAGCTAACCATTCCAATTTAGATGATGATAACAATTTTATACTAATCAATTCATACTTAATCAACATTTTAAAGCTGACTATTACCACTGATTATTTAGTACATATTGTGTTGAATTATAATAGAATTAATTTTAAAACATGTTTTGATAACAAGCTATTAACTGTACCAATATAGGTATTTGTTAATATTATTATTATTACAGTATCTTGTCTTCACATGTGTTAATTACATCCAATGATTAATAACAAAAGTTGTTCTTTTTACCTCTCTATTTACTTATAACTTATAAAAATCTTTTGGTGAATATCCTTTTACAGGATTCTGATAAACGAGAAGAAGACTCAAATGAATTTGTGAGTGCAGTAGCATGGAGGACTGTAAGTTGCATTTTTATAATCATCTTGTTTTATTCCCATATTTTGTTGTGTTGAATAGTGCATGGATCTTTTACATCTCTGCTCCTACGTAAATTGAAAAGTTGATATAAATTAATTTGTTGCATCTTCTCAGTGTTATTTCTAATGCTATGTAAACTAATGATTGTATATATATATAATATAGAAACATGGTCTGTGCAGTATACATCTGAGCTGGTTAAAATAATAGGTTGTCTATATTATTTCTTATTCTAGGGCTCAAATGTATGTGTTGCTGCCAACAGTCAAGGTACAATTAAGATCTTGGAGTTAGTGTAACATCAATGAAAACAGTAGACAGTCAAGAACAGAAAATTAAACTATTGAAAACACCTGTTTTTTGGAGCTGGTGGCACATTGAGCTGCAATGTTTTTCTCTACATGTTCTTCAATCATTTTTCCCTCTTTATTGCACAGTAAAACATTCTTATTTATCAATGCTACAGTCAAGCTTCTTTGTTTCTACACCAAACCCATTGACATTAACCTTCCACTTGGAAGCCTCGATTTAACATCTCCACCTTGGCTGCTCTGCTAAGCACAATAAAAATAACGATAATATATAACATTATATAGAGCGGAATATGAGACCTGTGATAGCTTATCCTAACATCTCGTGAACATTTCTTAATAAATTGAAAGCAATGAAACATAATGTATAACAAACAATTGCATTGACTGTTGCATTGTTATTTGGATTATAGTTTCATATCAATGACATTTAATTTTGAATTATCATCTCTAGACTACAAGTACTTCATTGCATTGTTTTGTCAGTTTTACTCCTAAGGTTATTTTGCTTTTTTGGAATGATTAATTTTCAAAACATTTTAAAAAAAACAACAAAACAGATGTTTCTTGTGTTAAGAATTATAACTATCGAGTATGTATCAAATGATATAAACCTATATTGATTGAAATTGTTTTTGAATTTAATAGTCAAAACTACATTTTGTGGAATAATTATATCTTTTGCTGATTGTTTTGTTAGTCTTTCACATAATTGTGATTGATTGCAGCATCTTGTAAAACTTGAAAATGGGATTTGATTCCAGATTTGGACTTGCGATGAAGAACATAGTAATTCCAGTTGAAATATAGCATTGATATTTCCTGATTTCAAAGGTGAAATGATACATTCTGTGTTAATACATGTGCAATACCAGAAGATCTATTGGCCCCCAGCTTGCTGTTCAATGAAACTAAATCTTAGTCCAAAAGCAAGCAAATTATTAAGTTGTTCTGTTGCAATTATACGCTTGTTCGCACAGTAGTCAGTTATCTCAAATTATTACCATATATAGGTTGGTTTACAAATAAAGAAATGATATCATATATTATTATAATAATATGCTAATGATATGCTAAAGTATGCAGCAGTAACAGGTGTGCATATGTTAGAGCACATTTGTGTGCTTTGTGAGTAAGCACAAATAATGTTGATAGTTTTGCGAAGGGTTTTTTTTTAATTGTTATTGTTACATATATTCATATGCTGCCTTATACTATACTGTCATTCTCCACTGCACAAACATTTTCCTTGATTATGTACATGTTTTTCTACCAGGTTCCCTTCACAATATAACAATAATAGGTCTGTCTTATTGCATCACATATTGCCAATGTCTCTGAGCACTGAACATCATTACTCTTGTTATTGGAACTAATTTCCTTGAAACACATACTGAGCTACCTGAGGAGTATCTCATGATGTAGTGTTCAGCATATTTTGAATTCAAACCTACCTCAATTATACTCCTGGGTACAGATTGATAAAGTGGATATGTGCCTATATGTGGGATGTTATTTCATAATGATTTATTTACACTTGTTAACATGGCTTCTAGTGTATATGAAAGTTGCTTCTGTTATCTACCAGATTGTAAATCTTGAATTAATATCTGTTTAAAACTTAATGTAATGCACATTTAATTCTTATTCATTAAAAAACAGATTAATTACAATTGAAAAGCAATGGAAAAGCTTTCATGCAATTTTCACTCATCTGCATAATGCAGTTTGTTAACAACTGGTGCTAACCACTGCCTATGTACTAAATAATGCTTGTACGTCCCTCTGAATTGCATTCTATATTGGTAACCCTTTGAACCAAGTTGGGATTGCTGTTGTTCACAACCAACTTAGCATCACTTCCTAAAATTACACAACTTGCTAATCTGTTGCCCAAATTTTGACATCACCATATCCAGAAGTCTATCTTTTTTTCTGAAAGGAGCCAGAAAAGTTTTGCAACCAAAATGTGGTTTGCGGCCCCATAAATTATATTTATTCAAATTCTCTTAGTAACGAATAATTCACAAAAAAACCTAGAATTATGGACACTGGAAATGAAGAGCATGACTAACAGGTGTAAATACGCTCTGTAGTTATAGAACCAGGAATATAAAGCATTTTCACATTAAAGAATGAATGTACACTATGGAAAAGAGCAAGGGATTGTCATCCAGTGTACTGACTAATGTAACACAAGGAGATGCTCTCCATTATTACAGGTGTAGCGTTATGATATTTTTTTTTTTTAAGCTGTTTTGTGTGCTATACTACTCAGCAACATTTGTTAAAAAAACAAGTGATATTTTCGTATATCTGTAAAAATCACTGTTGAGTTTTCTCAGAAGTAATTTGAATTCTGAACATCTCAAAAGGATTTTTGTTGAATTTATTGTGAAAGTATTTTATTTGTGAAAATATGATTTTTTATGTGAATGCATGGGAGGGGATACAGTATCTAAATTTAATTCAAGAATGCTTGAACATTAAACATATTTTGATCATTATTATTACACATATATAC